CCTCTCTCTAAACAAAAATCAAAATACATTTGGAATCTAAATCGAAAACAAACCTAATTCAACTCAACTCAAAAATCTACGCGATCAACACACTGTCAACCCTCTTTCAAATTGATTAAAAAACAAATAATAAAAAATTAATTCCAAAAATAAAAATCAACTCTATCAAGCTGGCCTCTCTCTACACAAAAATTCAAAACAAATATCAAAATGCATGTGCTATCTCCATCGAAAACAAACCTGATTCAACTCCACTGAAAATCTACGCGATCAATACACTATCACACCACTGAAATCTCCGACGAAATCTCCAACAAAATCTACACGATCGTAGCAATCTTTCTCGTCAACTCCACTGAAATCTCCGACGAAATCTCCACCATAAAATCTCCACTGAAATCTCCGACGAAAACTCCGACAAAATCTCCCCTTCAAATTCGGTTTCCAAAATGTATCAGTTAACTCAACCATATAATATTCAAACAAATTTATGTTATAAAGGAAGGGTAATTTAGGTACTTTATAACCTAAAATAAATTTGAGGGACCTTAGCCATCAAAACATATTATAAAGGACCTCTCCTCATATCAAAAGTAGAGGAGGGACCTTAGGCCAATTTTTCCAAGTTTAAACTCGTTATATTTTTCATACTTAATGGTAAATTAGTGTAATTTACTAAGAAAAAATTCATTTATTATTTTTGAATTTAATAATATTATGATAATTATACATTTTTTCCTCACCTAACATCATTATATGACACGATATAAGTTGATAAATAAAATATGACAATAAAATGTGATTTTCATAATATTATTATTTCTAGTATAGAAAAAAAAAGATTGACTGTCACACAAAAAATTGCCACATTAATAGGAATATTTTAAGATCAATTTATCTTTTCTCAAAAAATTCGTACCCCTCAATAAAATAACCTTATGAAAGAAAGAAAAAAAAGAAAAAGGAAAGGCATCCTTGATCTCTATTTATTGAAAATGACGAGGTCTCTAATAATTAATCATTTATAATTGGGTCTAGCTTGTCTCATGTTAAATCAAGATTGGACCCGTCTAGTCTGATTTATGAATCTATTTTTGGATCTCGTTTCGATAATTCGAGCCGTTCAATCCGTAAAACTCGAGTACTATATCCTTGTAAAAAATCACGTTGATCGGATTTCGATAACTATTTGATCGGATCAAATTTGTATTAAAAAAATAAACGATTGACAAAATTCTGATCTGATCAAATAGCTATCATTATCTGATCATCGTGATTTTTTATAAGGATATAGTACTTGATAAATTCTACACATTGAACGATTCGAATTATCGAAACGAGGCCCAAAAATAAGCCTATTAGCCAAACTAGACAGTCCAATATCAATCTCAACATGAAACAAGTTAGACTCTATATAATTCACTAACGCTATTTTAAATTTTAGATTTTCAATCAGAAAAAACAGAATATTTTTAGAATTATCTATTTATATTTTTGTTCATAATGCATTTATTCTCAAATGGCCCACCCATGTGGTCTGTCTACGTAACGACTTACCTTAGAATTTCTAATCCAACCAAAGAGTGCGTCATCGCATAGCTTTTATTTCGAATTTTTTGTATATATTATTTATAAAAATAAAAAAATTTAAAAAAGTTAATCAATCAAATAATTATAATTTATTTAATTTATATTTGTCACTAAAGAAAGTGATGGATTATTTTTAAAAACATGTTTTTGTCATTTTTATAGAAACAAATACAATAAATTGAATAGGTATCATATCGATTTATTTTTTTGTATAAATGATATACGAGGAGTCCGATAAAATTAATTGTTCAAATTATTAAAATAAAACTCGTGATGAATTTCACATATTCCGACAATACTCACAGGGCTGCAAACGAGCTAAGCCAAGCCGAGTTTTGCAGAGCTCGAACTCAACTTGTTTACTTATCGAGTTCGTTTATTAAGTTCGAGCTCGGCTCGATAAGAAATTAGGTTCAAGCTCAGCTCGGCTCGTTAACATTAATAGAACTCGAGCTCGGCTCAGCTCAGCTCAGCTCAATTAATTTTTTTTAATATTATTTATATTATTTAAATACAAATATTTAAATAAAAAATATTATTTATATTATTTATTATATAAATAATGTATTTATGAATTCGAGCTTAATGAGCCGAGTCGAGCCCTTAACGAGCCGAGTCGAACTTGTTCATGAACAGCTCGATACATTTGCAGCCCACAGATTAGAGCCCAGTCTTTTATTTTATTTTATTTTATTTTTTGCATTTATGTGTTTTTAATTCATTCAAAACTTTTTACCACAGTAATACTAAAAACAAATAAAAAATTTACAAAAACAAGCAGAAAATGTAAGACAAAAAAAAAAGTGAGAAGATAGTAATAATATGAGTCTTACTAATAATAATAATAAATATCCTTAAGACACAAGTAAAAGACAAAATATTTATAAAATATAATGCATTTTTTTTATTAATTTCAATATATTTTTATTGAAATTAATATATATTTTAAATATTTTTATATATTTTTAAGCCACTTTTATATATTTTTCAATATTAACGATGAATAAAGATCACTTGTTAAGATTTGCCTAATAACATTACGAGGGGCATATACTGTTATAAATATATGCTAAGGTAGCTGCATTGCGTGCGACTACGGCTAATGTCTAGTTGACTTTATATTTTATCCTTTGATTGTAGATCACCTTTTGAACAAGTCTAGTCTAGGTAAGCTACCCCATTAAACATTCTAATGACCATCAATGAGTCTCCACATAGATATAAAAAAATGTATAATTTAAAAAATATATATATACATAAATATATGTAAAAATATATAGAATTTTGTAACAAGTATATTGGAATTCTAAGGCTGTTTGATAACCATTCTATTTTCAGTTTTCAATTTATATTTATAAAAATTTTAAAAATTGTCATAAAAACTTGTTTGATAATTTTTTTGATTTATAAATGGTTGTCTCAGTTTATAAATTTTAAAAAAAAAAAAAACATAAACTCAAAAAATGAGTTTACGTTTTCAATTTTTTTCTCAATTAAATTTTTTTTCAATTATTTTTTTCCCAATTAAATTTTTTTTTAATTTTTTTTTTCAATTAATTTTTCTTTCAATTATAATGTATGTGATCCCATTATCATAAATAAAAAAACAAAAATAAATATTTTAGGCTTGAACAAACATATTGTTTAGTTTATATTTTTAAACATTTTGTTCAAACTAAATGCATTTGAAATTTATGCTTTTCTAAAAATAAACAAAAACTAATTTATAAAATTTTTATAAACATAAATCAAAAACGTAAACGTTATCAAACGCTGACTAATTATTTTGACAATGCACGACCCATCCTAATAAATCTATAGTACGCAATCCCCTCATATGCACTCAGTTATGATTTTAAACAAAATCTGTTTTGCGTAAACTCTCATATGTAATCACTTAGCTACAGTTTATTGTAACAATGTGCTCAAAGTTACAACCCAACTATATTGAGTTGTGTATGAGAGGGTCTGGGGATGTCGCCAGAAAATTCCAAGGCCGTCAAAAAAGTTGTTGGAATCTTTGAATGTTTGTCGAAAAATTCAAATGTCGTCAAAAACTTTGAATCTGTTAGAAATTATGAAAGACTTAGATTTTTCAATGGCTGCAACTAAAAACACAATAGCAAAGAGATAATGAAGATAAGAGATTGAATGAAAAAGAAGGCAAAGTAGTTAGAGAAAATAATAACAAGACTCTCCCATGGATCTCTTACTTTAGATAATGAAAAAAGGAAATTAGTGCTCTCCCAATAATTATCTCTCCAAAAATCAACCCTTTGTAAAGTTATGAGTGAGTTTTATTTATAGACACCTCATGATGTAGGATGGAGCTCATGTGCAAGACACATGAGAAATATTCTCTCTAACCACCTTGTCTGAGGAGGTGATCTTTTGGAAGATGAGAAAAACCTTAAAAATCAGATCAACCTCTTGGTGAATACTTCTTCTTAGCCACACCTAACCAATAATCCCCAATAATCTCAAAGGGTCAAAGGTAGTTCTAGAGAATGCCTTGCCACAGAAAGGTCAGGAGTAGTTCAAGAGAACGCCCTACCGCAAATATTGTCGAATCTCAGGGACCCCTTAGATCGTGCCACCTCGACCAGGATATAGGCTAGTTTAACCAAAAAATAAATTTATCTCCACTCACTGTCCTCAAGATCAAGTCCTTTGTTTGAACTCTATCACGCCCATGGTTTTGATGCATCGATCCCAAAAAGCTCCGAGCCCACAAGTATTCTAAGACTCATTAACAAAGCAACTTCTAGATTGCAATCGAATCCGTTCAAAACCAAATGCTTCAGATCTCTAAGTTCATGGATCCGAACCCTTTCGAATTCGAGCTCAAATGGGTCTCTAAGTTTGTAATTCTAAACCCTTTCAAGACTAAACAAATACTTCGGAGAATGGATCTCCTCCGAAGGTTTCATCTCTTCTGAAAGCAACGGTTAACCTCCTCGAACACCTGTATGATCTGGGCCTCCTCAGATGAGGTTTTAGACTCTCTTTAGAGATATATGCTTGATAGGTCCTCCTTTGTTTAATTTGTTGACTTTCTTATAGGTCCGTTCAATAGAATTCACTTGAGCCCATTTGACAATAATTTCTCCAGACGCATTAATTTTTAGGCTTTCCGATTAGACTCTGATCGGACCCAATTAATTGAATAGGCTCAAGTTAACCCCTCTTACAAGTTATAACACCAATAACTCAATAAGTCGTAACTTGGAGTTAAGAGTTACGATTGAATGCAATTGTTGTCGTAACGTTGACTGCATTATGTCATGAGCAAGAGCACACCACATCATAACCAAGGGGTGTGCACCACAACCTGATCCTAAATCAAAGTCATATTGCATCATAAATTTCCAAAAGTGACCAACCTATTTCTTCAAAGAATTCAAAGGACAAAACGCACTGAACATATGTTCATAAAATGTGTCTAGGTTAATATTTAATTCAAATATTGACAGTTTGACATAGTTACAAACCTTACAACTTGTTAACAAGGAATTTCTTAGGAAATGGGGGGAACATGACTAATTTTATTTTACAACATTACAATATATTGAAAAAAAAAATGAAGCCTCTACAAAGCTGAATTTTCTCATGAAAAACCTTCACAAGTCTGTTTGTCTATGCAAAAAATGGCTTGTCCCAGAGTCCAAGCTGAGGCCCTTCCTGAGCAGCCTCTCGTTTCTTAGGCCGTCATGGCATGGAGTGAAAAACTCGTGCCTGAGTGCTTCCTCTGCACTTATTCTCAATCTCGGGTTCACTGTCAGACACTTTTCCACAAGATCAAAGAGTGATCTTGGGATGACCTCGAAGAATTCTGGTCTTTTTGTGTTCTGTTTGCACCAATCTCGCAGTTTCATAGATGGCAAGAATTTCACATCATAAAGATCCTGTGACCAAAAATCAACACTCTTACAAAATAAAATAATCGAACAACCAATGTATAATTTTTTTTAATTTAAGTGGCGAGTGAGTAATGAATACCAATGGAAATGAAGATTCGCAGTTATGTAGTTTGGCCACTTCCCAGAGATCTTCATTGCCTCTCAACTTTGCAATTTCCTTTATGTTCCTGCAAATGATAGCAACAAGGTTGGAAAGATAGATAAATTGTAATTGCAATTTAGTGTTCTTTGATGAAGAGAAACGATTCTTACTGTTCGGGTTCACCAGTAAAGGGTGTCCTTCCAATCATTAAGTAAAGTAAGGTGACCCCGGCAGACCAGATATCAACTTTGGCCGCTTGATGTGGTGATCTGAACAATACCTGCATAAGCACTCAATATTAGACTATTTCAATTTACAAACTATATCCCTGAAAAACAAGCATACTTTTTTCGTGGAACTCTAAGGATATTCATTTTCCTTGAAAGGTCAGAACAAACTATCTAGGGAAAGGAAAATCCTAGCACTCCATGGAAAATAGAACAATTTATTAATTTCCATTCCTCAATTTAGGTTGCTTCTTGTCATTCCATCTCTACTCTTAGCACAAAATTAACCTGAAGACCATTGTTTAGGAAAAATTGAACAAGTTACCTGTTTGGGTATAATAGTAAGGAAGAAAAACTGTGGTAAATGTGATTTGCAAAATTGTGTCAAGGTTGAAGAAGTAGTATGTATAAAAAAATTGTGAAGCTAAAACTTGGACTAGGTTCAGTTGTAGTACAAGTGAAATGAGTGGGTGAAAAATAAACATTACAAATGCTTGTTGATTTTTCTCCACAGCCAGGTTCTTAGAGCTAATATCAGATTCTAGCTGCAGAGAAGAATCAGATATTTTGTAGGTGCTACACCCAAGCCACATTCCAAGATATAGGAAATTCCCTGCGAAAATTGTTTAAAATGATACTTCTACCTTTAGACCCAAGTTTACTTTGAAGAAAAGGAGAGCTATAAGATTCTTGGACTTCCTCAAGAGTAGTCGTTATCCACCCAGCTGAAGGTAAGACACTCAAATCTTCTTACTGACGCAACAACCTTCAATTGACTTGGGGTTTTGAAACTTCGAAGATTCTTTGCAGTACATCCACCGCAAAGACGGAAACGAAGGAAAGATGGCAAATCTCCTTATCAGTGATTTTTCAAATTTAAATCTATCCAGTAAGTGTATTCTTCATTACAATAACATAGTTCACTGATTTAATGATGACCTAATCTCCACTATTTTGAAATTTAGTGAATGAGAATCTGCCTGCACTTCCCCATACAATTTTTTAAAGAGGATTCTAAAATTTTCATTGTTAACACTATATGTGGAAAATGTCTTCCTTTATTAGAAGTAACGATAATATTATAGCATCTTGCGACTCTTTCTCCTACATCCAAGCTTCTCTCTTCCCAAATTTAATTATGTCGCTGCAATAATTTTATTGAAAGATCTAATTCATACTGAATGAAGATTAAAACAATTCTCACCTCTGGAGCCCGAAAGCCCTTCGTTCCAACACAAGGGCCTTCTCTCTTTTGCTTTCCATTCCCTACAAACAAGTAGTACATGAGTGATCATATTAAAAATTTGAAGGATTCTTATATCAAGTATCAAGCAAGTCTCCAAACATAGCCAACACACCTTTATTATTTACCAGGGCAGCACCCGCAACAGCAATGCCAGAAGAGTACAGTGGCATTGGAGTAAGGTAAACAAGTTTTCTGTTCACTTTTCCTGGAACAGCAGCAATCCTCTTTCTCTTAGAAGCTGGAACACTTTGTGATTCATAATTTGGATTCTGCATTGCTTTATGAACCAGGCTGATAAGCTCCTTCCTACCTTGGCAAGGAATGGGTTCCCTAAACCTTTCTGTTGATGGAGTTCTAGTGCTTGTTGCATCCTTTGCTGACGTTATCCCAGAGCCATCTGCACCTTGGCTTTTCATCAAATTTCTATTGCCCAAGTCAGAAAAGGCATTTGTTTGGTCCACAACTTTCTTTTTCAGGTTCCTGGGTAATAACAGTGGCTTGGAAACTTTTCCTGTGTCCTGGACGATTGTTTCCAAAGATTTACCAATCAGATACTTATGATTGCTAGGAGGAAGTGTTTTGGAGTGGTCAAGTGGATGTGGAAAACGATTGAAACTCACATCATAGCCCACCTTTGATTTGTCTGTAAAATTGTACAAAGTCCATTAATCCAATCCAAAATTGCATTAAAATAAGAACAGATTCACAACAACAAAGGAAAGAAATGAAGAAAACATACTTAAGTAGGTTATTTATCTGGAAGATTTCATAACGAAGATGTTCTTATTGTTGTTCATATTGAATTTATTTCAACAAACCATATATAACATTAAATTCTTCAAGTTTAACCTCTAGGTATTTTTACATTGAACCTAAAAATTGTAAACATTTGTATAACTACATACAGAGATAAACAGAAGAAGAAACAACATACCAATAGTTCCATGCTTTTGGTGCAGATCCTAGATAGGAAAAAAAAAAAAAAAAACTTTGTTGAGCACAATAAGAGATTGTAGGAAACAATTAGAATGCCTAACTGAAAATCCCAAGACAAGTATCACCCACCATGGCAAGGTTAAAATCAATGAGATAACCTCTATTGGCCCTACGAGAGAAAAGAAAGTTGCCAGGTTTAACATCTCGATGAACTATTCCCTGGAGTGCAAAAAGAATACAAAGTTCAATCAGCTCTAGAGAAATCATAATGACCCATGCATGCACATCATATTTATTGGTTAGCCTAGTATCTCTCACCTGCTTATGTAAACCTGAAAGTGCTCTGAACATGCAATAGCCATACCACTGCAGCTGGAAAACATCTATTTCTCTCTTCAAGACCTAAACATTTAAAATAACAACTGACGTCAGACAAAGAACAGACAGAAAAGAGCCATTGAAGTTCCACATTAATTACCTCTGGTCTGTCATGCTCAACATGCTCTAGAACAAGGCACTCAGAATTCCCACTCTTAAAAGAGCCTTCATATTTTATGACAAAGTTCTTACCCCTGAATTAGAAGTATCACTTTCAGATTGAACATCACTTTTCACTTAAAAATATAACTGAATCCTTAAATGAACCTCCAGTATCTTACCCAAAATGCTCCAGCATCTTCATCTCATTATGAACATGGTGTCTGTTAGCATTTGTATGAGGGCCTGCAAAACCAAAAACATCCCATTTGGCATAAGGTAAGTAACTCCATCAAGATAATGTCAAGGTGACTTCAAAATGGAAACATTAGAGGCCATTCTCTGAAGCCATCTCAAAAGCAATGCTGTAATGAAAGCTTGATATATGTATGATCAAAACAAGAAGCAAGAACATAAACATTTAAGTTACTAGGATTCTATAAAATGAACACCACCAAAATACACTACTTTCTCTAACATCTGCAGGCTTCATATAAAAAATAAGATTAAAAATAATAATAATTCAGAAAATGTAAAATGGTATCTAGGACATAATTGAAAAGTCTAATTCACACTTCTCCTTAAAATCCAAATATTAAGGAGAGGGAAACTGGAGCCTTATAAGTAGCACAGATGAGGCAACTCCAGGCAATGTGGGACACATTTCAACACACCCTCTTGGACCACAACATGCAGTAGCCGAACAAGCGGCACACCAATCACAGGCCCAACCAAGCTTTGATACCAAATTGAAAAGTTCAATCCACATTGCTCCTAAAAACCCAGATATTAAAGAGAGGGAAACTGGAGCCTTATAAGTAGCACAGATGAGGCAACCCTAAGTAATGTGGGACACATTCCAACAGACATTGCATCCATGCATATCTTTCCCATAACCCACAAAACTGTTTTGATTCATACAGAATGCTGCATTTGATTCCCGAGATTTTGTTCGAAAAAAATAATAATAATAATAATATTAATACATGGAATGCCACCTTAAACTAATCCTGCTACAAGATTCCAAGTGATCATATCTTTTTATATGACATCACGAAAATAAAAGTGATATACATTATTGAACAATGAAACATAGCTTAGTTGATCACTAAATTCCAAATGGAATAAAATAACTCACTCTGAAGGAATTGCAGTTTCCCTGCAAATAATGAAAAACATCTATTTCCGCACTTTGCATAATATGCCTTAACCTCGTATTCAAATTTCAGAACAAAAATAACATAAAAGATGAAAATACACCATACATTTAATAGCGAATGTCACTCTGTCATTCTTTCTCTGAGCCCTGTAGACTGTGCCATAACCACCTGCATTATGTTTACCAAAGGCCACCAATGAATTCAAATCATGACAAATGGGCTGCCAGGGCAGGAGATGGAAAGCCACAGGAAATCAAAATTTAATACCTGAACCTTCTTCTTCCTCCACGGTAAAAGATTCAAAATTTGGTAGCGGTTTTGGTTCCTGTTAATAATTCAAAGAAAGCATCACGAGCTTTAAATTATTAAGCCAGATCATCCATGATAACAGAAGTTATGTCTTGATAAAGCAAAAACTTCAATCATGAACTATGGAAACTTTGGCAGAACCAAAACTTACATTGAGAGCGATGGCAATAGGGTTGTCCCTTTTTTCTTTAGAATTTTCCACCTTTTTAGTGTACATTTTTTGTTCACAATTCTGCTTTAACTTCTGCTTCATGGGTATTGTGTTTCTATCTTTTGTACATTGCAGCTGCTCTATAGGAGAATCAACAGCCTTACTATTGCCCAATGCCTTGCAGAGAGCTTGCTGTTTAGGATATAGTGCATCCTTCTGAAAGGTCTTTGATTTGGAGGATTTCATCAGCTGCTTTTGCATAACAGAGAGCTCGCCTACTGATAAAATAGACTTATTCTCTGCATTTGCCGTTGCTTTCTTTCTATCCAGAGAAGGAATCATATCAATGCACCTTACCTTTTTCATTCTTTTGGCATCATGTGACATGACCATTTCAGCAGTATTAACTGCTGGGACCACGTATTCAATTTCATCTTTATGGAAAATAGAATCAATTAACAGTTTTTGCTCTTTGCCATCGACAACTCTTTCATCTTCAACTATTCTGATATTTTTATCTTTAAAGGCATGACCAACATTCCCAGCCTCCACTGGCGAAATTATGCTCTGTTCTTCTACTTTTGTGCATGATGTGGCATTGAAACTTGTTCTACTTCTAAAGCTTGTCTCATCCATCTTAGTTTCTCTCCACACAGCCAAATTTTCTTCTGTAGTATGGATAGATTGTTCTGGATGAAGCATACATGTCTTTATTTTTTCTACTGTTATTGGATAAAGAATATGTGGAAAATTTTCAAAACTGAGAAAGCTATGCTGACATTCTGGCTTATACACATATCGATGCTCCTTCAGACGATCAAAGATTATACTTGTTTCCTTACTGGTTTCAAGATCAATTTTCTGCAGTCCATAACTCAACAGTCCAGCATTGAGATTGAATGAGAAGGGAACCTTCTCAACCACTCTATTCAAATTGTCCGATTCAAGTTTCATGATTGAAATATCACCTGCCCGTGTATCAATTCCTCTGGTCATATTGTCTCCCTTTGGAAACTGTACCTGCATGACTGATAGGTTTTGAGAAACCATCCAAAATTGTAATTTGATAGGTAGAGCATAGTATCAACATTGAACAAGACTGCTAAAGCAATAGATGTCACGTAACCAAGTTCAGATTCTAAAAATCATACAAGATATATACCATTACAGATTCAGTGACAATCTGACAGGCACCAATAATAAAATCATATTTTGCTTGAATGTGAATAAGCAGTGGATCAAAATCCAAATAAGCCAAGCAATACGCTCCAGAACTCTTATACATGTACAAATTCAAGGCTAAGGAGGAGGGAACATGATTAGGGCAAACCTAATGATTACCCATCTGATGTTTGGGAAATGCAGAGTCAGAATATGATATATCAATGGCCCCATTTCGGTCACACTGAGAGCATCTCCAATCCTTCCATTAAATGTTCATCAAATAAAGAACCATTTTTTCCATCAAATTGAGAACAGATCCAAACCATTACCAAATTTGAATTTGATGGGAAAAAAAATTAAAAATTAAAATAAAAAAATGAAGCATTGGAGATGATTTTTTTCCCCATCAAATTTGATGAAAAGGAGATATTTGGAATTTTTAAAAAGATTTTGATAAAAGCATTGGAATAGTTCATGTCGAATTAAGCTTCTTTTTTCTTTTTTTTTTACTCAAATTTAAAATCAAATTCGATGACAAACTTGGAGATGATCTAATCCACGTTAAGCACAATCAAATTATACCTTCATTGAAGATAAATCCAACAACAAATGCAAATTTTAGTCGCTCACAAAGCATTACCTTACTATAATCACTTGGAGTTGAAATTGGCACAATTCGATTTCCCTCATCTACAGAACACAAAACCGCTCTCTTTTTCTCCACCGCCATAATTTCAAACTCCGATCTGAGCCTCTTCCTTCTCCTACTATACGTCCTGACAACATCTTCCCAAACTCTAAAACCTCCGACCCCAATCCGAGGCACAAACGCGTCAATTGCATTCAAATTCGATAAAAACTTCCGAAAAGCTACGAAGACAACAAGCGACGGTATAACAAACAGGTCATTGTTGAAGCAGATTGGAGAATTGGAGATCGAACAGAGGTAATTGATGTAATCGGGGGGTACTGGGAAAAGAATGCATTGGGAAGCGAGCTCTGAAGGAGGAGAAGGACGGCCGATTCTGAGGAGGAGAGAGAGGAGGTGCCAAGCTTTGTGGAGGTCTGTGGTGGTGAATGGAGTGAGGGTTGACTTTGTGAGCTGAGCTTCCATGGAGGTCTCAGATCTTGAGAGTGAAGGTGTATGCATATGTATGTCTGTATGGAGAAGATTTGCAGAGATGAGGAGAGAGAGAAGGGGGGAGGAGGAGCGGGAATGGGACTTGTCGTGGAGGGTGGGTTTGAGAATTTGCAAGTGCCAAATTCCCGCCAATTCCATCTAAGGATTGAATTTTGGATTATTTACTCCTGAACGATTAAGAACTATCATTTTTACTTTGTAAATTATAAAAAGTATCTTAAATTATTGAGAAGTGTCAGTTTTATCTTCTAAATTATAAAAAATGTATAAATATTCTAAACTATAAAAATGTATAAATATCTTTAAATTACAAAAATGTACAAATTTGATTGTTAACGAAATGAGTTAAAGTAAAACACATCAATATTTAAGAGACTTATTTGTATATTTTTATAGTTGGGGGGAATGATACTTTTTTTAATTTGGGAGGTCCATTAATATGTTTTTATAATTTAAGAGATCAAATTATTACTTCTTAATAATTTAGGGGTCTCTATGTAAATAATTTTGGTTTGATTACTTTTAAAAACTTATTTGTAGAGAAAATTTCCCAAAATTTTTTCAGAAATACAACCAAACGAACCCTTTATTTTTGTCTTAAATTTGAACAAATCTATTTAGTAGTATTTTGTTGTGGTAAAATTGAACCCAAAAATTTGATATTTTAATCATTAAATTCAATAAAAAAAATTATATTTAAAAAAAAAAAATCATACACCCGTCTTAAATTTGAACAAATCTATTTAGTAGTATTTTGTTGTGGTAAAATTGAACCCAAAAATTTGATATTTTAATCATTAAATTCAATAAAAAAAATTATATTTAAAAAAAAAATCATACACCCACATATATAATGACTTAAATATTTTTTTTTTAATTTTTGTCAATTTCACTTAACAAAAATAGATAAATAGTTTAAATTTAAAAAACAAACTAAAATATTAGAATTTAAATTGACAAAATTAAAAATTGAAAATTTATTTTGTTAAACTCGGGCGAGTTCGGTCGAGTTGGGGGTTTGCCCAAGCCCAGCTCGAATTGTATTTGGCAGTGCCCAAGCCCAACCATGAACCCGAGCATTGCTGTCCAAGACCGGACCAAGCTTTGTATTTTGAACTCGAGTTAGCCTAAATTGTCTAAAATTCCCAAGTCCAGAAACCTGAAGGTAAACCAAATGAAACTCTCTGCTTGTGTCCACCAAACAATTGAGTCCCATGCTCACCTACCATGGTGTCTAGTCCCTAAATCCAATATTTAAAATACAAAGGTAAAATAAAGAATTAACAAGCTTATGAAAGTGAATAGATAGAATACATAAGAAATGATGTAATCAAAAGGGCAAAAAAACATCAAACCTGAGGCAGTTATATATTATAAGATATAGTTGGGCTAATTTAATTTAATTTATTAAACCTCTTTTATTTAATTTATATATATTATATAATTTATACAATATATTAAATTTAATTCGGGTTCGGGTTGCTCGGGTTGGCCATTGATTCTACTCAAGCCCGGCCCGAATTACAATTCGGGTATCAAAAATCTGCCCAGGCCTGTCCAGATTACAAGATATAGTTGCCCAAGTCCTAAAAAAACTCGGGCTGGGCTCGGGTTGCTCAGGTTGAGCTCGCCCGAGTTGCACCCCTAGTTATAAGACTCAAATTTTATTTTTATTTTTTGTAATTCTTTTCTTTTTATTTTTTCAAAAGAAAAAATCTAAAAAAAAACTGCAAATGTATTTGAATTTACGTGCAAGCCCTCGGATGATATGAAAGTTAATAAATGAACTGGACCTATATTGCACCATGTATTTAGGTTGGGCCACAACGGCTTCGTTTGGGAAGTGGGTTGTTTTTTTAGTTTTTTGACTTTTTTTGCTATTTTAGCCTGGGCTAAAAAGCTTGGTTTGGGAAGGACTTTTTGGGTTTTTGACTTTTTTAACTTTTTTTGTGAGAGAAGAGTGTAATGATTATGGGTTGGATGTGATGTTTTGTTTGTTGTATCTAAAATAGCCTATTTTGTCTTTTGTGGCTAAAATAGCCAAAAAAACCCATAAACCAACTTGCCAAACGGAGGCGAACAGTTCAATTTCGGTGATTTAAATCATTTGTTTTGTCAATATTCGTGTAGATTATTATTTTTTGAATAATCATATTAGATCAATAATTACAATTATGTTATTTTATTATATTTGACTAAAGAAAAATATATTTATTTTCAAAGCATTATTACTGTTGGCTACATATTGTGTATAAAGCCAATCACAGTTCAACACGTGGCAGGTTGAGGGTAATACGGGAAAACAATTCAAACCTTCGATCGTGATCGTCCACGTGGCAGTTAGTATTGGTTTTCATAAGATCTGCGTAGTATTGGATCAGCAAAGAGATGCAAAGTGATGTGACTTCAATTGTTACTCACATTTAAATTCAAAATCAGGGGGGAAGCCTAGCTGCAGGTATTGGCGTAGTAGAGCTAACTATAAGGCAACATGATTAGCGATCATGGAGGAGCGTTACGACGGTTAGAATTGCAGTTCAATGGTTATCTTTGAGAAGTATAAATAGCAGAGAAGGCCCCAGAAAAAGCCCCAGACTCAGATCCAGAAAACCAGTTTTATTCTACTTTATTTCTTTTCCAGTTTTTACATTTCTTGTTCTTTACATTTATGTACTTCAAATTTTTGCACTGCATTTCGTTCATAGGAGTAGTTTTCAGGTAACTTGTTGCTGTAAACCTCTACGAGGCTGGTTCAGATCTTTGGAAGTCTTTCATTTTGCTTAATGAAATACTACAACTGTTCTTCATTTAACTATTGTTTGCTTAATTCTTCTAAACAAAGCCACCAGTAAAAGTCCTCTTCATTGAGGCTGAAAGAACTAAAACACAATCGTCTAATAAGTGGTTGGCAATTAACATCATATAAGGATTGATTGATCCTTGCTGGCAAGCTTACAATTACAAAAATAGCCTTCGAAAGCCAAAAAAACCAACATATATTTTTGGCATGCCTGGTGGGACTAATTGAAATGGCTAGATGTAGGAGACAAGGAGAAAATGAACGCTTGGAAGAAGGCGTGGAAGGGGAGGTAGAAATGCCTAATACAAAGGATAATGTGATAACACATCCTGTGGAAACACTTATTTTATAAGAACCTATGGTCGAACAGACCAACACTTCGGAACAAGTACCACATGTTCATAATATTGGACAAGGCCAAGGAATTGAACCATCCACTCTTCCATCTACTCAGCCAATGAATCCATGGGGTGGCCTAGTAGATGCCATGGGACAGCAGTTAATGAACACAATAGAAAGGTGGGCAACATCCTTTTTGGATCGAATGAATACCCACCAACCAACAAACACAAGACACGTGGAGGAAATTTCAAATGTCCCTCAGCAAAGATTGGCTAGAGATAAACAGCCTATGCAAATTAATGGACATTTTAATGGTCAAACTAATAATCAAAACTATGAAAGACCATCGCCTCAGTCTTGGTATGAACCTATTTCGAGGCCTATAACAAGTCAAAATGCTTCATTACTTAACAGTAAAGCCATGCAAATTGGTGAATATGGCCCAGTGCAAGAAAATGGCATAAGGATGGTTCCAAATCCCATGTTCAAAGTCATACCTGGAACGAGGGGGTTCACTAATCCTTTATTCGAATTTATACCCAGGGGGTTGGAAGGTTTTCCTACAACTGGAAGAGACACAACACCTGTTCCAGCACCTTTCGCAGGACAGGCTCAAAGGGGTTACCCATACCTCCAACAGCAGCCAGCACCACAGGGACAACCAGTCTCAAATATACCACCCTATGGACCAAGAGAACCCCAGGCACAAGGTTGTCCACCAAATTCTGTGTTTGTTCCTCCAGTTGTGGTTCAACAGACACAAAATATGGTCTTTGGGGACCAAATCGTTGACATTGTTAGAGAAATGTGTGGACCAATGGCTCAAGGGGTTCAGACTCCTGTGTACAGGAAACCATACCCAGAATCGGTAGATAGGGTACATGAATACCCAAGAGGTTTCAGGATACTAGATTTTGCCCTTTTTTATGAGAATGGAAACCAATCAACGGTTGAGCATATTGTTAGGTTCGCGGCTCAGTGCGGTGAATTTACGAATAATGACTATATGAAGTTAAGATTATTTCCAAATTCTCTAATTGGGGGAGCATTTGTATGGTATATTAACCTTACACCTGGCTCTATCCAAACTTGGCAACAAATGGAAGAGGGGGTTCAGACTCCTGTGTACAGGAAACCATACCCAGAATCGGTAGATAGGGTACATGAATACCCAAGAGGTTTCAGGATACTAGATTTTGCCCTTTTTCATGAGAATGGAAACCAATCAACGGTTGAGCATATTGCTACGTTCGCGGCTCAGTGCGGTGAATTTATGAATAATGACTATATGAAGTTAAGATTATTTCCAAATTCTCTAACTCGGGGAGCATTTGTATGGTATATTAACCTTACACCTGGCTCTATCCAAACTTGGCAACAAATGGAAGAGGCATTTCATGCCCAATTCTTCCAAACAGAGCTAGAGGTTTCCATGGCAGACTTGGCAAGAATGAGTCAAAGGCCTGATGAGAAAGCTACTCAGTTTGTTGTCAGATTTAAAAGAGCACGAAATAAATGTAGGATCATCTTACTAGAGCCTGAATTTGTGAGATTGGCTCAAAATAGTTTAGAGTTTAGGCTTCGAAAGAAGTTTGACTCAACTGAGTTTAGAGACTTAGTGGAATTAACCTATAAGGTGTCTAGGTATGAAGCATTACTAGAAGAAGAACAAGATCGAAGTAATGCATCGTACAAGACGTATTATAGAGATCCTAATTATGAGATTGATGCAACAGAGATTGCAGGGAAAGAACATGTGATCTGTGAGGCATTAATTCATAAAGATACAACAATTGATCAGCAGTTTAAAAAGAAAGACCTTCATAGGAAATACTCTTTTGACTTAACAAAGGCAGATGGCATTTTTGATCGTTTGCTTGCTGCAAATTTCTTGAAGTTGCCAAAAGGAGTCAAAATTCCGTCTCCAGAGAAACTTAAAAGAAAAGTGTATTGTAAATGGCATAATTCTTGGTCTCACTCAACTAAAAACTACATTATTTTTCGAGACAGGATCC